TGTCCCTTTCTAAGTGACACAAGCATTGAAATTGCATTGGCATCAGCTATCAAAACAGTTGTTTGCAGCCCCAAAAAAAGAAAAGGGAGGCGTGGGAGCAAGATTGTAGTGTTCGTGCAGGACTGGTGAAAGCTGAATATTTGCAGAACAGAAAAAATGTAAGTGATAACAGACTATTTGTAAAAAGATGCCTTCTAAGCAAAGTAGGTGGTAATGCGAATACTGTGGTTAGAAGTAAAGCTACTGGCACTGTGAGAAAGGAGCAGGAGTGAGAGAGTATCAGTGTGTTATAACCTCATGGGATGAAATAATCCTATTCTCAGTCTTCACAGCAGATTAACAGCATCCATAAATCTGGGTGATGAATGCAATTTACCTTGTTTCAAATTATGTCATCAGGACCACCTGCTTGAGCTTTACACACTCACTCACTGTTCACCTAAGCAGCTGAGATCACCAGCTCTACTTTCTTTTTCGCCAGATACAAAGCGAAAAGGTGATGAGCTAGAACCGACATCAACATACGTCCATGCTGCAGGGCACCGAGCACATCCAAAGCAGCGGGCCGGGAGGAGCGGGGAGCGATTCTGGGTTAAGGAAACGAGGGAGAAGAACTCGACAGGCGCTGGAGAGTGACGCGCCGCTCGTTTTCCGCTTGAGCGCAGGTTCCTTTCATGGAGGCATCCAGATCAGGGCTGAAAGCCTCGCCCCACGCTTCAGCAGGGGACCCTCACCTCCCCTTAAGCCTGTCTGGAGGTGGGCATCTCTCTAGCAAAGCAATAGTGATTCTCTGTCTCTTGGTTGCATTCCCCAAATGCTAAAAATACCAGGTCACTAAAGCGCTTGGATCCTCAGACTTGCCACATCAATCTCCCGTCTTTGAATCTATCACGTCCATAAGTCCCTCTGTTTCTTAAAAACCTACTTTGTCCGTGCAACCTGTCACCGTCCAGCCATCGGGACAACAGCTTTAAAAATAGCAGTCTCGGTATGCAAACGTTTTTCTTCTCGCCTGGTCACAAACCAAACCACTTGCTCCTGTGGGTATCTAAGAATTCGATGAAGCTGTGGATAAGCTCCCTCCCTGCTCCTCCTTCTTTCCTTGGAATTGAATTTTCTAAAGCCCTAATATATTGCCTTCCCTTGTGGCCAACAAGCGTTATCCACAATATTTATTTTCCTTTGTGCTTTTATATTCAGTTTATGCTAGGACCAAAGGAAACCTATATGTCTACCCATGTTGGTAAAAGCAAATCAATCTGGATGTGTCAGTTGTTTTGCTATTTATGGGTTGAAGTGAAATGAGACCTGAGTTACTTATGGCGCTTGTTTTACAGGAAAAAATTAGTTTACGATAAGCAGGCCAGACATTGCCTATACTCGGTCTCATAAACGAGTTTCCTGAAGCAAAGCACTAGCTAAAATTGATGCCTACTTTGTTCATTATCTGTGATTCACTTTCCAGGCAGAATCAATATATTCTTAAATTTCTTCACTGTCTTGCCTGGCTTATAAACTGGGGAATACCTGTGTATCCCAAACCTGAGCCTATAGGCTTGGCTTTTATCCTCTGGGGCCCAAGAAAGAGATTTAAGGTGCTTGACTGGGACGTGAGATCTCACTTCCTAGCTTTGTTGCTTGAAGGCAGTTTGGTTCACGTAACCAAATTCCCTTTGTCACCTGTACCTTGTGCAAGAGGCTTTGATTTTTATTTTCTAGGGGAGTTACATCTGAATAGTTCTAATTTCCACCCCCCTAAGCCCATGGTAAGTAAGTTCTGAGGCACTTGGAAAAGCAACACTTGCCCCTGTGAAAACACAGAGGCAGGGAAAAGTTTCTTCCATGAAGTCATGGAGCAAGAATGGCGTGGCGAGGGGCAGCCGGCGAGGAGCGCACTGCTCCCCGCTGACATTCCTGCGCTGACATTCCGGCTCCCCCCCCGCCTTCGCCGGGGCGCAGCCGCACGTGTCCCCTCCTCGCGCATTGTCTCCTCACCCGAGATCCGGCCGACAAATATAGGCACGGAGGAAAACCGCCGATGCCTTTCCAGAGTTATCACCAGTGACCTTGAGATAGGGGCATATAAAGTCTGGACCCGGCGGCGGCGGCGTGACGCTTTCCGTGTGCTCTCCAGGGTGAGTACCAACCTCTCGCTTCTAAACGCGGGTAGCCAGCTGTGCTCTAACACTGCGCCGCGGTTTTCCCGTGGTTAGGCTTTTCCCGTGGCTTAAGGTTTTACTAGTAATACCACTAAACATACAGCGCTGTGTTAGTCAGCCTAGGATGCTGCTTGAATGCTAGGATGGCAAATGCATGTTTCTTCTCTAACATCAGCGTGTTTATTTAGCCAGCTAGAATAGCCGCTTAGGAAAGCGTCAGGGCCCTTGTAATTATGCATCTGGGTGGACTGATTAGCCAGTACCTGCAAATCCTATTTTCTGCCTTCTCTATCATCTGCAAGAGGTGGTGGCTTATGCAGTTTGCACTTTTAAGTAGCTCATTGGTCCAAGGAGTTCTTTAATCCAACCTGTGTTACAACCCTTGGAGAATTACTGGGCTCCTTTTCAAAGAGGGGCAATGCCTGCTGTCATTGCTGTTGCTGACGAGCCATTAGCCCTACAGTAGCTCTTCCAACAGCCCCAGCAAAAAAGGCGAGGACCCTCCTTTCCAAGTCCAAACACCCCACCAAACTGTTGGTGGTCCTGGCCATGCCACTTAACTTTGTGTAACCATATTGGCTTTCTACAGGGAGTAGGTGTTTTCAAGGATCCTCCAATTTTCATACTCAAGGGCTGGCTCTTTTTGTTGTTAGCTAGAACAGACTGAAAAGAAAGTGAACGCCTTTAGCTCTGCCTTGTCTTTCCTGACTATACTGCCTTTAAAAAACAATCCTATGACCATGAACTAAACAACATTTCCAATTTCTCATATCTGGCAATGGATTTGCCCGAGTTCTCCGCACTCGCAAGGTGTGCGCTGCCTGGACTCTGGCCTCTGTTGTAACTCCAAGCACATGGGACTGACGAAGACAAAGGGGTTCTCTCCCAGCTGCCTCAGTGCTGCTTTCCACCATGGCATGCTTGCCGTAGTGGTTCGCCTTGAATATGTATGGAAAAAACCCCAAAATGAGATAAGAAGGTGACAGCTGAGTAGCTCTCCCTAAGAGGTCTGCAAATGGAGCTAGGTTGCACAGAGGTGGTTTAGAGTGCTTTAGTGTATATTAGGACTTGTGAGAATCTGTCCTGAGTCCTAGCCATTAACACTGGAGTGGCTCCTGTGGCATTTGCACGTTTAATGTGAAATGACACTTACATGCTCTAATGCTGTTCTCTTTAAAGGGGTGAACTGATGTAATTTCATTGCTCCACCAGAGCTAAGACACACTCTCCACGGGAGAGAGACTTTGCCATGCTTGTTTTGACTTGTGTCTCCGGTTGGGAATTTTGGTCAGCTCAGATGATGTTAAAATAATTGCTGATACTTGTGCTTATGTAGGCCCTTAATCTTTAAAAAGGAAAAAAGCTAAGGCTAGTTCTGAGGAAGAAATTTTTTGCTCCACAGCAACAAGACAGAAGGTCTCAAGCTTGTACTGCAGCAGTGGGAGAGAGCTGAATGTAAAACTACTGGCAGCTCTGCTGTCTTGGGGCTTTACATTCCCCAGGAGGAATGTGTTGTAAAAAACTACCTGCCTTGATTGATGAAGAGTTTTTGTCCCTACCAGGATTTTGTTAGAAAGAAATTGAATTAAATTTTGAAAGACTACAGTGTCAGTCTTGATAGGGCTCTAGAAAATTTGTCCAGCTGCTCTGGATATTGCACAGTAAATAAAATAAAGGGAAGAGGTAATATCTGAGGGCCACTTGTACAGCTTCAAATAGTAATCAGCTAGTGTCTTGACTTTAAAGAAAAAAAATCTGAAATTCTTAAATTGCGTGCAGGTGTGTGTATGTCAGTGTGTGTAAGCATTTTTATACGTTTGCGTGTGTGTTTAAAAAAACCAAAACAACCATATCTGTACGATCACTTCAGAGAGTACATAACAATCAAATTAATTCCTTGGCAGTACAAACCCAGCAAATGGGTCTCACTTACACCCATGTCCCCTGCCCTCCCTTTCATGATAAAAGGCTCCCAAACACCGTGGCCTTGTCATTTGAGGAAACAAGTGTAGGCATTAAGCTGGACTAATAACCGCAAATGAATCTAAAAAACCTATCAAGCCCTTGCACCAATGCTGCAGATACCCTCGCCCTCTGCCGTGCCTTGCTGCAGGGGGTTACCCACGCTGGTGAATTTGGAGGTACCAGCAACTTGGGAAGCTGCACCAGCACAGGGCCTTCCTGAGCCACGTTCGTTAGTCCCGGTTTTTCTATCATGCGAATTTGTGCCATCAGAGGAATGTGCTGCGGGTAGCAGAGCCGTTTCCCGCTCCAGGGCCGGCTTTCCCCAGCACGAGCGTGGGCAAACACCCCTGGAGCCACACCAAGGGGGTGACGCACGTTCCCGGTCGGCGGCAGTGAAGCCTCGCTCCACGATTCCCAGAAAATGCCTGCCCTAGACGATGCTTGAAGTGGCTGAGTGGCATGGCCCCAGGGAGACGTGCGGGAGAGCCGCAGGGTCTGCTCCAGGCAAGTCTGAAAGGCCCCCCTGCTAACTGGTTTTTGAAATCACAGCTTCAAGTGGTCTGCTTTATCTCCTGCTCTTCAGCACCATTCGCGCCACAAAGAAGGGATTAAATTCTCCTGTGGAGATAACTGTGACCCATGCCGAGGTTTTGAACCACACAGGCTCTGGCTGGCGTTAAATAAGCTGAGCCGGGAAGGGTTTAACTAAGGGTGCAGTATAGCCCCAAACCTGTGTTAGGTATTTGCGTTTCAAGTTAATCATCGCTTTGATCAGCCACCTGCCACACTGTGCTGAGCGCTTTGTACTGCCTCAGATCCTACATGAAACAGATTTTCCCCCTTCCCTTTCTTTCGTAGACCAGGTCCCTTTCTTTTTCCTCTTTGAGCTGTGCCACACTGAACCCTTGCCAAGATGATGGACATGTCGGAATTCGGGGAGGCTGCTCCCTTCCTCCGAAAGAGCGAGAAGGAGCTGATGATGGCGCAGACCGTCGCCTTCGATGGTGAGTTGCAGCACCCCTTCTGCTGCCAGTGGCCGGTTAAGAGGGATGAGGTTATACCCCAGTGCGGCTGTGGGAATGCAGAGCAAAGCAGGATGCAAAGCCTCCGCGGCTGCTGCTGCTATTTGTGGTAGCTGGTTCAACCAAGCTCTGGTTTCCTTATTCTGCAAAGCTACTAAAAAAACCCCAGGTAATACTAACTAGAAATAATCTACCAATTTATGGTAAGTAAGTAATTAACTGGACTTAAAAGCAAGGCGTCTCTGTACCGTTTTGCTAAAGGGGGGATCGCTGCTTTGTCCGTTTGAAAGAAAAACACCACACACTGATGTTCCTGTAGTGAGAGAGATTCTGCGCCTGACGAGATGTCTCCTTATATTGTACCTGTACCTCTGTTCGATTTGCAGGCTGTATGACGCTGTGATGTTAGCTTTTAGTTTCCCATAATTTGTTTTTCATTAAATGGATTTATATGAGCCCTGAGGTGTCGTAGTAAGTATAAATACACCAATAACCACAGCATTTTCGCTGTTCAGAATAGTTGCTGTAACTAAAGACCTGAAGTCTAGTGCAACTACTCCAAACTCTAAAAAGCCACACACATAACTCAACGCGAGTTATTAATATTTCTGTTTTTCAAGACAAACCTCAGAAGAATGTGCAGGAATAAGGTTAAATCTGATACCTGGCAGGCAAATAACATGGGCTGAATTCCTCGCTCAGATCACAATTTCCTGTGTGACTTTTTAGAAAACACCTTAATATGGGCTTGGATCTCAGTTCCTCCATCTGCACACTGGTGATAATGATTATGGATTTCCCGTGGTGGCTGAGGCTTAGCCAGCATCTGTGAAATACTTTGACACCTTGTGCTGGAAGGATCTAGAGGAAGCCAAGTGGTTAGTTTCAAAGGGGAGACAACATTTGGGAGCCCTATGCCTTCTGCTTTGGCAGGCAGCTCCCCAGCACTGCCGATCTGCTGCGGTCACAGAGGTTTTGTGTCACTTGTTCGGAAAAAGCAACCCAGCAATCTCCCTTAGCTAGGCACGGTGTAGTTTGACGCAAGGCTGTGAACCCTCGGTCTCCTTAATTTCACAGGGAAGAAGAAATGTTGGGTTCCTGATGAAAAGAAAGCTTACGTTGAAGCTGAAATTACAGAAACCAGCGGTGGCAAAGTGACTGTGCAGACGACAGATGGAAGGGTATGAAACCGGGTTTTGGATGACCTGTGACTAACGAGGCTGGAGCAGAAAGCTCCAGAAAGTACCTGGCCCGGATTAAGCTCAGGTGCTTGGTCCATGAAATGGGCCGTGAATGGGAAGCCCCACGAAAAACCACCAAAGGAAAACTGGCAATGTGGTGGTGTGTAAGAGAAGTCCAGCCACGGCACAGCAGTCAGTTCTGGTTTGGGCCCCAGAGGCAAAACCCTGTGCTGCAGCTAAACCCCGGGGCTCCTTTCGCAGCCATACCACCATGCTCCTTACTTTGATCATCTTGTCCTTCCCCCTTCTTCTGATGTCTGTGAAAACAAACGATGCTGTGTACATAGGCTGGGTTTGAGCTGAAGGGCTTCCCTCCACAGGGGAGAAAAAAAAAATGTTCTCCTATAAGGTGTGGGAAGCAACAGAAAATCCCAGTGTTTTCCAGTGGTGCTGTACTTACCTCTCTTTGCAGACCATGACTATAAAAGAAGATGACGTGCAGTCAATGAACCCTCCCAAATTTGACATGATCGAGGACATGGCTATGCTGACCCATCTGAACGAGGCGTCTGTGTTGTACAATCTGAGAAAGCGCTACAGCAACTGGATGATCTATGTAAGGGTCATTACTCTGTATATTTAGAAATCTCCATTTCCAGTGCTGTGATGTTTGAATGCTGCTATTCAATTGACAACTTTGATATGTCACAAAACCAAGGGTCCTGCCCATCTTTTCAGGAAACCGGTTGCTTGGACAAACAAAACTGAACGAATAAGGTGGTGTCTAGTTCTTCGGTTTTGCTCGCTTGCCTAGGAAAGGGGTGTCATGGTTTTTTTTTTTTTTTTCATCATATTTTCAGCAATCAAGGTGTTAGGGAGACCTAGTTTATTTTTCCTCTCCTAATATTAATCCATGTCAATTAATTTTCCTCTCCTGATATTAATCCATTAATAATACTAATCCATGTCCATACTAGCCATGGAGATTTCCTTGTTAAGAAGCAATGCCTGAAGCTTAGAGCACACATATAACTTCTTTTAAGTATGAGCCTTTCTATCTTTAGTTCAGCAATTTTATTTCCTTCATTTTCAGTGCTGACATCTGTCATGTTTCACTGTGGCCTTTTCCCTTGCTTTGTATCTTCCCTATGACATCATTAACATAATTTCTGTCAACACCAGAACAAGCTTCATCAGCGTGCAATTTTATAAGGCCAAACTTTTGCTCTCAGTTTGCTGCATTCAATTGTGCCTGAAATCAGTCAGGGAAATCTATAGATTTTCTAGCCAATCCCTATTCTGTTTTCTTGGTGTTCATCAGAGGAGCAAATCCAACTTTTTCCCATTTAAATTCCAATTGTTCAATATTTTCTGCATTTCTCTAATAACCCCTGTATGGACATGAATGGCATAAAGCATAGGTTTGCTTGCAGATCAGTATAGGTAGGAAATTAAATTTGTCATCTTGCTTAATCCATTTACTGGTTGGAGTGTTTTGTACTCGTAGAAATAGGACTGAAGATTCATGCCAAGGCCATTCTGGAGCAGGTCCTAATGCCATTTTTATGGGAAGGCACCTGGATTTCACCTGAAACTTTTAGAATGTAATTGAGCTCATTGATCTAGTGGGCACAAGCACCACGTGCACTAAGTGCTGGGTTCCTCTGAAGATTTCTGCTTCAACCTGCACTAAGTACCTGAAAAAGTTACCAGCTAACACCGATTCCCCAGGGTTACGGCTGGAAACTCATTCTTCCTCAGAACCACCAGGCCCCAGCCAACTGATGTAGGTAGCCGAAAGAGCTACTACAAAGCCAGATTTTTGCCAACTGCGTTTCTCCAAAAGCTGGAAAAAGCTCCGCAACTTTGGGGCATAATGCTATGAAGTCGTTTTCTCTTTGAACACCCACCAGAAATTGCGCCAAGGTGCTCACATCAGTAACGGGAGATTGTTTCTCCCAGGGTTCTCCTCCGAAGAATGGAGTTTGAATGGGAAAGCTATAACTTTTCTTTCCTTTGTAAGGACTGCTTTCAAGAAGAAACAACTCTTGCTGGGTAGAAAGGCAGAAGATCATACGTAGGTCTATTTGTTGCTCCTTTGTTCTGCTGAGGGGGCTGTTTCTGGTTGTCATCTTGAAAATACTTTTTGCCCTTTGGAGAACTCTTTAATATCTGTAGTTTTGTTATCGATTGCCAATAGGAAGTTGTTTAGCAGACCAGTAGCTTTGGAAATTCAGATCAAAGGTTGAAATCCAAGTAAGAATTCAAACTCAAATCAGAAGCTGGCAACACCAGTTCCTGCTTGGTTAACAAAGATTTTTTTTTTTTTTTTTTTTTTCATATGCCCTGGGCTGTTTTTTTCACTCTTGTTTTGTGTTCCTCTCTAGACCTATTCAGGCTTATTCTGTGTGACTATAAATCCCTACAAGTGGTTGCCCGTCTACAAGTCAGAGGTGGTTGCTGCATACAAAGGCAAGAGGCGCTCGGAGGCTCCTCCCCACATCTTCTCCATCGCTGATAACGCGTACCACGACATGCTGCGTAGTAAGTGGTGCTGTCTGCTTTCAGATTTGCTTTTGCTTCATTTAGCTGACGTGACTGCTGCCGGATGGAAGTTTGCACTACTTTTTGCAGTGTGCAACAAATGTGCAAATACTCTACAAGCAACAGGGGCTTGGCAGTCTGCATCAATTTTAATTTTAATTTATTTTTTTTTTTACCTCCCCTGACTGTCCCTGTGGTACTTCTGGTAAGAGTAAGCTCTGTACATGAATTACCTATAAGGTGCACAAATGTAGCTGTCTGAACTGAGGGAAATCCATCAGTTTATAACAGAAACGGGGCCATGCCCCAAAGGTCTGTAAGTATTTTCCCAGCCTCAAAAATAAACTGTCAGTTTATGCTCGGTACTCTAACACTTATAAGATGTATGCATTCAAAGATTACTGAAGGACAGCTATCCAGGGTGCCATGTGCACATTGCTCGCAGGAACGATGTTCATGCGTCGGGTCAGGTCTGCACTGCCTGCCGTGGGTCTGGGCACCATCCCTGCAGCCACAAACTCCAGATTTTCCTGTGAAATTTTCTCACCCGGACCCTCAAGTTATCGGGAAAAAAAAGAGCTTATCAGCAGAGGGCAGCAGTGATGTGCTCACACCAGCTCCTGTGAGGCAGCCCGGTAAATCCCAAAGAGATTTGGAGGGAACACATGCTGCTGTCACCTGCTTTTGATAAAATGGGAAGTGCCACAGCTGCGAGGGGCAGAAAGCACTGGGTGGGGGTGAGGAGCTGCACAGAGATGCTCTTTTATCAGAGAAGGGTGAAATATGGCCAGGCTGCCCAATATGCAGCCTGTCGTGATGACTGGAGTTAAAAAAGAAAGGAGAAATTTAGGCTCGGTGGCTTGGGAAGCTGCTATGATTTAGCATTTGCTGAACTTGGTTAATAATTTATTAAGGTTGCAAAGTGTTCTAATAAATGGTTATTTCTGGTCAGGCCATTAATAGCAGGGACAGTATAAAACTCGATTCCAGCAGCATGGCCAACAGAAGAAGAGTACGTATGTGTAGTAAGGAACTGCCTGTGAACAAACAGCAAAATTACTTGGGTTAGTCTAGTACTGCAGGAGCAGAAGGGTCAGATGTGAGCAAAGAGGTACTCAGGAGTAAGAAAAGAAACATTTTAATAATGGGAAATTACTTTCTTTATTATAGTTTCCCAGACACATGGGGAACCTGCAAGACTGACAGGTCTTTAACACCTACGTGAACAAAACACAAGAGGAGGACTCAGGGCAGGGATAGAACTTGCACTGCCGGAGGTGGGACTAGATGATACTAGCTTTTATCTTTCCATCTTTGCTTCATGTGATTCTCTCCTGTCCTTGCAGGACTGATTCTGGAATAGTTGGCACTCATTTGCAATTATAACAAGCAATTTGTACAGCCTATTAAGTTTATCCCTTTTTTTTTCCCCCCTCCTCCACAGATCGGGAGAATCAGTCTATGCTGATCACGTAAGTGCTTCTTTTTTAACTGATTTGAGACTCTGTTGCTGTGAATAACCTAGAAGAAAAAAATACTACTGAAATACAAGTTGACCCTTGAAAGCTCAGCTTAAATTGCCTGGAACTTGATCCAAGCCAAGTAACTGGCAATTTGGCCATCTGACGGCTGTCTTCAGCCCGATGGGGAAGGAGGAGCTAAGGCTGGCCCATTTCTGATCCCTATCTGGTATCCATTCCAAGTAGGCATGAAAACAACTCAGCAGGCAGTTAAAGAAGCTTCTTCCAGGGTTAGCCTTGCTGCGGCTGCCCTCTTCAGACATGGAAGACTCCTTCTTTTCAATATGGTTGCTCTTGCTGCAAATTATATTTAAGAATGTTGTGTAGACACATCTAAAGGGAGGGAGATGACCAAGGCAGAAAAGCAGAGGCACGTCATTTACTGGCAAGCATGAAAGATGGAGAGTTGGGTGTCTCTCTACACAGTTCACATGTGCTCCTGGATAACGACGGCAAATTACTGCAGCTTTTCTGTACATTTTCTAACTCATTAGCTGTACATAGATATACCTCAGATCCTCAGTCTGGGTGTTTGTAATAAAACTTCGCGTCCTTAAAGGAAGCTCAGTGTAGCATGGGTTTGTACTAGATTTCTGAGCCTAGTCACATAAAGAATTAGTTGCTGCTATGGTAGGCATTCACCTCTTCATTCGGTCAATTTAATGTTATTTCCACTGAAATGGCCGAAGAACAGGCTGCAGAAACCAGAGTCAGAGATGCTGAGAACAGCCTGTGTGCGGGGAAAAGCTGGCAGAATGGGAGGGTGAAAGGATGAGTTACAGCTGTTTGGGCAATGCCTATGTTATCTTCCTCCTTCCTTTAGCGGAGAATCCGGTGCTGGCAAGACTGTCAACACGAAACGCGTCATCCAGTACTTTGCCACAGTGGCAGCCCTGGGTGAACCTGGCAAAAAGAACGTAAGTCTGCTGGCGGCTGTTTCACTTCAGACTCACAAGGATTTTCTGTTGTGTACAACTAAACCTCACAAGTCTGCATCCTGAAAGCCCGATCATCTGCTAGACCTCAACAGGCATGGTTAAGAAAAGAAACCATTGGGAAAAGACATTGATGCTTCTATATGGCATTACTGGGAGCATGCTGTTCTGAAGGTGGAAAGGCAATGCTCACCTGAACTTGCCACGCTCCAGATGGAGCAGCAAAACCACTCCTGTTTCTGAACAGCTGCTTGTTGCTGCTACCTTCTTCTAGTAGTTTTTGTTTTCATGTGTGTTATATATGCTTCTGATCACGTTAAAGCTGGTCAAAAGATGAGGTGACTGTAAAGATTGATTTTTTTTTTTCCCCACATGGAAAATAGTCTTCAAAAGGACTAGGTTTATAATTTCTCATCAAAATGTCTGTTTTGTTGAAAGCTTTTTTTGTCCACAAAAAAGGAATGTTTTGGCAAAAGATTTCTTTCAATCAGCTGTTCTGTATTTCTCTTTGAATAAGTGCTGTTCAACTTATAAGTGCTCTCCAAGGTTACAGTGAATACTATATTCATGCTGCTTTTTATCTTGCGTTGCTATGAGATTATTCACTAGGAGCTTCATTGCACTTGAAGGCTCAACTCTCTTTTGTGGTGAATTAATTGATTCCTATGAACTGTATTTACAAGGCCAAAATTTCAGCCAGGTTTGGATTCTGTACGCATAACTCACCTCACCAAAATCTAACCCACGTTCATCTGAGGCCTGCAAGGCTCTCTCAGCAAACGCTTGAGTGGTCCAGAGCCAGTTTTCTGCGTGCAATGAGGTCGGTGCTCATAACAGCATCTGAAACCTGGTGTGCTCGTGCAACAACTGTGCAAATAACAGGTATTGCAGCTGGAAGATATTCCGTGTAATTCATCAGATCAAGTTGCACTTTATCTTCGTTATCATCATCCCTTTTTTTTCCCAATAATCCGAAGAGTTTAGGTGCAGCATGTCCTAATTTTCTAAAACTTGTCTGTTTGCATTTCCATCCTGTTATTCTTACCACCTGGCACCAGTCTCTTTCCTCTGCCCAGTTAGTTAGCCTTTAGGTTGATTGTGGAACATCTCCAGAGCAAAACCAGGTAGACGTTCGGAGCGGGGGTTAAAACAACAAGCTGGGTGGGAACAGCGCGTGGCTGTTTGTGATGTATAGCGAAGACAAATTAACAGTGTTTTTGAAGGAAGGCTTCAAAAAGTCCTGCTGGTGTGTTGGTGCCAACTAGACATCTAACCTGGCCAACCTTTACCTTTTGTGATGCCCTTCGTGGTAGTACTTACATTATCTCTCTTTTTTTTTTTTTTCTCTCTCCATTGTGTTCCTCTTCTGACAGCAACCAGCTACCAAAACTGGGGTAAGTCATCAGCTTTGCTATTTTGTCTTTTCCATGTGAAAATGGTACTGGGCTCTCTCAGTCTGTCTCACGAACCTCAGCATTTCACTTTGAGTGGCTCCCCCACTGAAGGATCCCTGGAGCCCAGGCAGTTAAAGCAGTTTGCTCCAGCAAACTGAAGTTTGTGCAAGTGACAGTTAATGTTTTTCTCATCTCCAAAAATCCCCAATATTACAAGCTCTAAGTGCTTTCAAATCTAACGCATTTTAGTGCTTGCCGCTGTCTTCAATAGCCCCCTCCTACACACATCCACTTGGATGTCCCCACGTGCTTCACAGTACATGGGAAGATATGGTGATTTCTTTCACATGCAAATGGCATAAAATATCAAATCTACAAAGCAAAACAGTAGAGAGCAGCAGAATGTTTGAGGCCTTTTAAGCACTCATAATCGACTGACGATCTTGCTGTTACGGCGTTCGCACCGTGCCACCCCTAGAGTGGAGCTAAATCACTTTGCTATGGAGGCTTCTCTCTGTAAGTGAAAGCGTGGCTGAGTTGCAATCAAAAGCTGAGTTTGTGGCTTGTAGGTTTCTCAATACTATATTTATAGTATATCTATATATTAAAAA